TATATATATAAATAGAGAATATAAATAAAACTAAAAATAATATAAAATAATTTAAATGAAAAATTTAAATTGATAGATTTTTACTTACCCTAATTCATTAAATAACATTGTAAGAGCACTATCGTGCGTGCTTCGATGTTGCAACCACTGTCGACTCCACAAACGACGACGATGATGATTCCGTTGTTGTCGTTGCAATATTTCAATAATTAAAAATACTGCTACTGCACATCTACGACGATGTGCGATTGCAACAATTTGTTCCATGTAAGAATTTGCTAAAGGTCAAGTGGAGAATAATCACCTCAAAAATCGATGAAATTAATTCTCAATCGACGATTTTTCATAAAACGAAAGAATCTGCCAGAAAAAGCGTTGCTCTTCCCCGCGAACCGAAATATTTATCGGTAAAGTTCATGACTCTTCAGGGCTCAGGTTAGGAATTTTTATGTACTTGTAATAAATTCCAGTTGCTCAGCCAGTACTAAAACTCGCATCGTCTGAAGTGTTACGTCCCGAGGTTCTTTCGGCGGGTAACCGAGGTTCGAATTAACCCGAGACTACTACGGTAGTATGAAGGTAAAATTTGAGGTAGTGGAGTGGCTAATTAAACTTGTCCAATTTATTTGTTATTAATTAAAGTTGTGCGCTCGATACAGTGATGATAGTGGATTCTGGGGAGGTCCAGGGTGTATCATCTGTCCTACCTAAATATGAGAGGAACCTTTCTAATATTTAGCAATTCGACACGTGATGCACGGTAGCTAGATGTAATGTCGTAACACGCCGAGATATTTACTCTTTTCGGAGGCCGAAAGCAAGGTGTAACATTCTGGGCACTTAATTCCGCTACTTTCGTTATCCCGATAAAACAGTGATGATGCGCAACAGGCGCTCCGTACCCATGTAACGTAAGGGTCTATTCTCAACTGGCGAGAATATAGCCAATTGCGAGTACGGGTGTACTGGGCACATGCTACGCGGGATCGGATTCGCGGCTCGTCGTGACCGAAATAGATTAATTAATAATTCCTTACCTTTTTCGATGAAGTTCTGGGTGGCGATGACGAGTCGTGAGAGGATGAATGCGGGCGGCTTCCAATTCCCCTAGTGTCTCACCTCTGCCATTGGTTCTCCCGAGTCTGTGGTGATTGGATTGCGGTTTATTAACACGCGATCGAGTTTCATTAACGTTAAAGTGTTCGTATAATTCAACGCGACGGATTATGGAGAACAGGTTTCATTCAGAGATTTTACTCGGATTTAATAAACCACATGAATTTATTATTTGTAGCTTCGTACACAATTAAATGTTACACATTTTGGCTTAATATTAAGGATGATTTACATTAACGCGGGAATTGAATTACGCTTAAAATTTAGAATTAGAGTTACTCTAGAACTTGAGTGAAGAATTTGAAACGTGCACGCGACACGTGAGAGCTTAAGGTCAATGGCTTACATATCCTCGGAGGTACTCTAGACCCGGACTCGCGACTCTAAGACTGTTACTTAACGACTGCCTTTATTCTAGTGCCCTGAGGGCAAATTTTAAGGGCGTCCCCTTCCATCGTTGCTCCGCTGAGGCACGCGTGGTGAGGAAGGCGTCAGGTACGGTCCTGGCGGTCTCATGTACTACGCCAATTTACAGGAAGCGAAAAGTTCGTTGTCTTTCTTTGGATGGTTCTGGACAAAAATTTAACAATGCCGCAGACGTGACACCTCCCCCCCCAAAATAAAACGTTGGAGCATGTACGACGTTTTATCGGTTAATGAATCTACGATAATTTTTTAATCTACGGTGGTTGTTACAATTTATTCGAGAGTGAATCTTACTTGCTATTTGTCTACAGTAATCACTTATTCACTTTCTTTATAGTTCAGTAATGCACGGAGTTCTTTATAACACATAGGTTTCTCACTTATATTTTCGGTGGTCACCGGGGCTGTGGGGGTAGGGGACTGATCTTCTGGCGCAGAACGGGATTTACTGAGGGTTCCAGTGGGGGCGGATATAAGGGCCTCTTCATCCTGTTGTTTCCTCGAGATGTCCCTTCCTTTAGATTGCGCCAGGTAAAGCAGCAGGTGTGTGACGGAGCTCCAGATGGCCCCGAGCAAATGCAAACTCCAGCCGTATATTGAGTGAATTGCGTAGCCATGG